AAACCCGCAGTGGGACTGGGTACAAATGCAAGTCTTTCTAATTCACAGACCAGGCAGCACAGGCTGCTTTCTGTGACCTCTGCTACCAGGCCTTACAGCTTGGCTAGGGCCACAGATAAAGATTGCTGTTATCAGTTGATGCTTCTTTTGGGAAGGAAGGATGGAAGCAGCTGTTTTTAACATGGACACTGTTCACTTCAGAAGTATAGAACCAGGCATAATACAATCTTGACCTCAGAGAGTTCCCTTACTACTACTAGTGCTACAATTCAAAGTTGGGTTAAATTTAAGCCAGGAACTTAGAGGTGAATGATTGATTTACCTTGTTTTACATAAACCAGTTTGTTTCATCCTTGTGTTTTTGCTTTCAAGTTTTGGCTCTGACTTGCTTTGGTAAAAGCAGGAATGGTTACTGAGTTTTCTGTCACAGATGGTGTAAACCTCCTTGGGCTGGGATCGAAGCCTGATCTGAAAGTGCCACTGCTTGCTGGCAGACATGAAGTAGTACAGGATGGGGTTCAGGCAGCAATTAAAACTAACCAGGGCTAATGTAACCCGGCGCATTTTGTAGATGAAGCTGATAAACTGGAGATTGTTGATGACCTGAGCCTTAGCCAGGAAGTGGAAGAGGTGGGTAAGGTGGTAAGGAAGCAAGCTCACGGTGCAGATAAACAGGATCACGTAGATAGTCTTCAAGGCCTTCTTCTTGAACATGTTGTGCCTGATGCGGGAGATGCGCTTGGCAATAAGAGGGTAGCTGATCAGGATGATAGCAAAGGGAATGACGAAGCCGAGCATCAAGGCAAGAACGTTGTAGGGCACCATGCGATGAGTCCAGCTGGTCACTGAGAAGTTCTCAAAACAGGCTGTCCTGTTCCTTGTGCTGCTGTTGTGAAGGGGCCCCTCGAGTATCAGCGAGACGGCAATGCTTATGGCAGCCAACCAGAGGGCAATGACTACTACTGTGTAGTGGGTGCCTTTGACCTTGATGTATGTGAAGGGGTGCAGCACGGCTATGTACCGATCAATACAAATGCAGGTGAAGAAGGCAATGCTTAGGTAGATGTTGATGTAATAGAAGGTGCCAGTGATTCTGCAAGCCAGGTCACCAAAGATCCAGTGGTTCTGGTTTTGATGGTAATGGATTTTAAAGGGCAAGATGCAAACAAACAAGGTATCTACTATAGCCAGGTTCATTATATATATGTAGGAATGAGAGGTGTGGGTGACCTTGGAGGCCAGCAGGTACAGGACAAGGATGTTCTCTATCAGTCCCAGCACAAAGACGAGGCTGTAGATGACAGTGAAGAGGGGGTACTGGAAGCTTACCTCCAAGCTGGCATTGACTGTCTCATTGGAGAGCCCCTCTGCCATGGTCCAGGGAAGGCTTGCCATGCCTTTAGCTGCAGAAAGGCAGTACCCTCAAAGTGCTCCTATGTGATGAGCATCCTTAGAAAGGAGTGGATAGGTCTTTCTCCTTTTAGGTAAACTCCACAGCAGCAAAAGCTTGATGTCCTGTGGTCAGAAAAAAGGTTGCACGAAGCTTTGTGGCCAGGAAATTTTAGTACATTTTGAAGTGCAGGCTCATCTGCATGGTAAAAAAAACCTAGCAAGAGAAAATTTAAGCATTAGGGTGATACAAGGAAACATCACCTAATACAATGCAAGTGCATTTTTAGTTTAAACAGTAACAGGCAACCTGCTTATTTGCTGGCATTTAACCTCCAGCTGGAGAAGATCCAATTAACTTAGCAAGTCAAAAATATATAAAAGGCACAGAAAAGTTCAGCTGCTGTTGGGCCAAAACGTTACACCAGATATCCTGGCTCTGGCAGAGGACTGGTCAGTGCTTAAGTAGCGCAGGAAAATTCCTTTCAGTGACATACTAATAGGAACACTCCTGCCTTAGCGGGGTTTTGCTAACAGCGATTCCACATACAGCAGCTCTTCTGGTGCCATTGACAGCTCCTGCGCTGTTTGCCCAGATGATGGAAGAGATGTGTACACCCCCTCGCCTGGTCTTCTCTGGCAGCTGGGATGTAGGCAAAGTCTTTTGGGTTACAGTTCAGGAAGTGGGATTTGAAAGCACAGAACTGAGACAGCTGGTGTCTGTCAGGATACTTAAGACATACTTGCTGCAGGACCTTGCCAGTCATTCATTAGGTTCACATTACTAGCAATGGCTTCTAATTTTGGGCACCCATGTGGGAAAGCTGAGCTAGTCCCACAGAACCAGATGAGGTCCGCAGGCACTTGCATATTCAGAAAGTCATGTCCTAGGTCTCTGAGATTAGCTATCCAAACTTTGAGCTTGGACCATGGCCCACACTAGTGGACTCAGCTTTAGCATAAGTGCAGACTAGAAGCAGACTGATACTGTAAGCTCCTAACAGACATTAAGTGCCTCAGATCTGAAGCAAAGTGATCCCATGGAAAGTCTGTAGTAAAAATAAACCTGGGTCAGCTCTATCTCTGCTTTCACTCAAGAGCAGTCTGCTGTAGGTGCACAGGCTAGTGTACGCTCCTCAACCACCCAGGCGTGAGGCACAGTAATAGCATCTACTGCTAGCAGCTACTCCAGAGAGCTGCTGTTGTCTGTGCAGAACCCCACTGGAGTCAGTAGAGAGAAATGTAGGTAAGTTGACCCAGTGCAAGTGCATCGTTTATCATACCTTTGGAGGAGGTTGTGCAGTCTAGCCTAAGGCTTGGCAGACCTGGCTCCTATGCCTGTGTCTGCAGCTGCCTGCTCTGTGACTTTGGACCAGGTGCTCCACCTGCCATTCTTTGCCTGGCCACAGCGGGGAGTTGCTGGGCTGTAAGCGAGGGATGAATTAACAGTGGGACTCCATGATTTCTCCTGATATAAACACTCTTAATGAATGCTAATGCACTCTTTCAAAACAGCATTTAATACTGGGAAGCTGCCCCAGCCACGGTCCAGGAACTGCCTGCCATGCTACGGGCTGCAGAAGAGGGAGCTGTGTAACTGCCTGTGTAAACATCTTTCAGCAGGAGGGGATAAAGCAACCTCTTACCTTAGGGAAACTCTGCAGCAGCAAGCAGTGTCTGGCTCTGGTTAGGACTTAATCGCATGGCGCTCTGTTTAGATCAGGCACCTCTGGTCCAGTAAACCAGTTACACTTCATACTTCCACATGTGATAAACCTGGAAAGAGGAAAAAAAAGCCAATGATTAGTATGTGCTGGAGCATGGCTGCAGGGATAGCAGTCAGCTTATTTACTAGCATTTGACAGCTGGTCACAGGAGACCAATTTGGTTGAACTGGAGTATGTCACCTCATACCACAAGGGCTAGGCTAAACCAGGAGGTGGTGGGGAGAAGCTGGCTGTGCCTTTACAGTACACCAACTCTTCTTCATTAACTCTTCCTGTTTTGAGATTCTCAGGAAGGGGCTGGACTGGCATCTGCTTGGGATAATTTAGCAGTAGTGACTGTGACCCTTGTGGTCCCTGCCAGCTCCATGGTCCTCTGATTCCTGGTGTGTCTTAGAGCAAGGGTTCCCAAAGTGCACTTGCGGCCCAAGAGCTTTACAGTGCCTTGCAGGCTGCATGCAGCGGTGACTGCCAACATCAGACCTAGGGAATGTACTGCAGATTCACTGGGTATGTCCCGTCCATTAATTGGCCCCTGTGAATCTAGAGGTGGTGACAGCTAGAGGACAGAAGGATTTCCCCTGCTCATGAGGGGCTTCAGCAAAGCCACCAAGGGGCAAGACATTTCCAGGGAAACAATTTGTAAAGCCTGACGTAGGGGGATATGACTAAGGACTGACAGAGAACCCACAGCTATTTTTAATGTGCTGTGAGGCCCCACTCAGCAGAACCCTGAGTACACCACAGGACCTGTTTGAACCTGTCTGAAAAGAGCAGGGGCAACTGGAACATCACCGACGTGCTGGAGGATCAGCAGTCAGAACTGGAAACTGGAAACACAAACTTGCAATACAAGGGGCAGTCAATGCAACCTGCAATGGGGGTAGAGGAGGACACTGAACAGGCTTGGACTATGTGGGCCACAAGAAATCGTAATGGCATCTCAATGAGGACTCTGAAAGCAGGGAGTCAATGAAGTGGCCATAGGTGGCAATCCAAGGGAAGGGACAGGTTGCACCCACAGGGATAGTTACACCAACAATGAGTGAGACTGGTATGAACTGTTCTGTCTGCACAATCCTATCATGGAATAGATGGAGCAAAACCATTGCAACTTTACCTGTTATATTTGGGGTTAAAGTTTCAGCAGTTTAGCTCAGCAGAGATGGAACAGATGGCTGATATGTGACTCTCAGTGGCAACTCCCCTCCTTTTAAAGCAGTGAGAAGTCACACCTGCAGAATAAGACAGTTGGGACATACCTATATTCCTGTGTGCCAATGTCATGCCTTCAACAGTGCCTTCTTGGGTGTCCCTGCACACATGGGCCCTAACACCTGTGAAGAGGAAAGGAAGCAGACTGTTGCTGTCTGGTAGGTGACAGACATGGGCTGGAGTAGATGGAGTCAGTTGTTGACAAGAGGCTGAGATGGCACCACACAGGAAAAGGCTCCTTCCACATGCTGAACGTTGCTATGGGTGAATAAGCGGGAGTGGGTTACTTAGCTAAAGGAAAGACCCAGGCTGAGTCCTGTTGAGCAGCCTTGCCGAGTTACTGCCATTTAGTAGCATATATTTATTTGCCCGCTATATCCAGCCTTTCTGTTTTCAGTTGGTTGTCTCCATTTGTCTGGGGCAAGTCCAGTTTGGTGTGGCTGCTTCAGCCTACCATCTATGTCGGGTGTGAATGGAAGCCACCCGTGCTGAAAGAGGATGGCAGCCTGTCTCAGCCTCCAGGCTTCTGAGAAGGAAGCATTTGGACTTCTGGTTGCTCACGCTCCCCAAACAACAGTAACTGTGCTGAGAAATTTCCACTCCCCAAACATCAACCTCCTTTAGCTCAAATACAGCCAAGTGAGGAGGAGGGGAGGAAGAAACTCGCACAGAATGTTCCCTGCCTGGGTCGGCCAATATTTTTCAAACAACTCCGCAATAGTTCCAGGAGGCAGATAAAATAGATTACTGGAGCGTTAGCATTACACCCAAGGGAACAGAGAGGTAAAGTAACCCTCACAGTGCTGCATAAGTAGGACTAAAACCCAGTTCTCCTACGTACTGCTACCTTCATTGTCATAAACAACCCAAACCTTTTACTTAGCCTATTACCCTGACAGCTAACAAGGCCAAGTGCAGAACCGGGAATTCAGTTCTGTACGAATCCAGTTCCTTTGGCACGGTTTATTATTGTCCACTTTAATTTTACTTCTTGCACTTTGCCTCAATGGTAAAAATCATTTTGCTGTTATCAGGGAGCCAATTTTTTTTGTTTTCAAAACTGTCAGGGAGAGGAAAGGATGCATTGGATTGAAGATGTTTCTATCAGCCTTTTGATCTACGGAAACTCATGGTGGGGCAAGTGTTTCCTTGAATCACAAGTCAGTGGCAATATTTTTCCAACTCCAGGGATGACAGACTTGATTTTTTACACGCTTGGTAATGGGTCAGGTTTCAGAGCTGCTTTGAAAGCCACCAGAGAGGCAAGTCCCAGTGTCCTAAAATTCTCTTTTGTAGAAATCACATCCAAATATCAAAAATTAAGAGAGCAACAAAAAAAGGGCCCATGTAAGCTGGTCGGCAACTTTCTAACACTTACTACAGCTTGAAAACTGATTCTGATTTAGGAACTTTCCACTTAACACATCTTATTACAACAAGATCATACTTTCCTGTTAAAAACAAATCCATCAGCCACTGCAGTTATGTGGTTCTGCTTTTAAGGATGCAGCCTATTGCCGCAGTCTGAGGCAGTGCAAGGACCAACTCGCTCCCGATCCTCTGGCTAGTGCAAGTCCAGTAGTTTGCACTGCAAACATGCCAGCAAGTATATAAATGGTTGAGAACAGGGTTTTAGTTTGACTACAAGTTGAAAGGCATTTATGGCATTTCTGATGCCACTTGGCTTTATTTCGTGTGACACGGCATCGTAAATCCAGGTAGGGGGGTAGACAATAGGAATAAACTTACCCACCAGCTGAGGCCATCTTGTCCCATCTGACCACTGCAACAAACAGGCTGACTTCTCTGATGTCTGTACAAAGCAGAGGTGAACACTGCGGTCTTCCACCTGAAGTGTTACAGCAGCACGAATTGCCTCACAAGTTATGCAGTAAAACCCTCCCACGCTGCTCTGCAGAGAAACCACAGGAAGTGAAGATGAAAGCCAAGCACTCTGGGGTATGCCAGAGGAGCTGTCTGGGGAGCTGAATGCAAAATTTCCGTGGAGGTGCAGTGGTTGCACTGTTCACAGCGGGTGTTCTGGGAAACTTGAGCTGTGTGAAAGGTCTGGTCCAACATCCCATGTGCAGAGGCACCGGAAGCTATGACACAGCCCTACCCCTCTCTCCTAAGGGCTGCCCACTTCTCAAGCACATGTTGACACTCGAGTTTGACTTAGGCTCAGACCAAATGCTTTTCACTTGGGACCTAATCCATAGTCGAGTCGCATCTACCAGATCTGACTTAGATATCTACATTGAAACTATATACAAGATTATTTTTAGATTATTTGTAACGCTCTCCCCATATTTCAGACATCTACCAGGGTTTTCCTAACAGGGGAAATGGTGAGATTTAGGCCACTGGTATTCCCTCTGTAGGAAAAGTCCTTTAGCCATCTCCAGGCCCCAGATGCCTATGGCGTGAGCCTCTAGCCCGTACAGGCAGACGCATGCAGCAGTAGTTGGGCACCAGTGGTCCTACCTACACTGAGACCACACTATTCACTTTCTTTTCCTAGGTGACCGCCTGTGGTGGTGTTTTCCAGGGCTCCCCACAAGAGGAACTGCTACTGCTAAGACGGCAGCTCCCAATTCCTTCGTGTGCTACAAGGCAGGGAAGGAAGCAGGTAAAAGCCAACCAGTTGTGGCTGAAACTGCAACTAAGGGGGCAGTTTTTACCTCTGCTGGTTAGCAGCTGGAAGTCAGTCTCTTGATAAACCTGCTCCCAGGAATGGAAGAAAGGGGACAAAGTGTGTTATTGTACCTTGGGAAACTCATAAGAATCACAGGAGTGGAGAGCAGCACTGGCCTTCCAGAGGTCAGTCAATCCATGCCACTCCTCAAGGCAGGACCAAGTGTCCCTCACTGATGACCCTTGCCATCAAAGGGCCCATTCCCTCCCCCAGACAGCACCAGTTTACCTGAAGGAGCAGCTGGTGGGCTTCTGAAAAGCAGCACCAGGTGTTCAATGAGGCGTCCTGATATGTTTGCCATGTTGCATTTGACTTTTTCTCCCATTGCGAGTCGTTACCACGAGAAAAGGGGCAACAGCACTGCTGACAGCAGGTCCCATAACATGACATTAACTAAGCTTTTCACTACAGAATCTGCACATGCTGCTTTTCTGGCAAATCCAGAAGACAAAAATTTTGGCACCGTAGAATAAAAAGTCCTGCAGCACCTGCTGGGCAGCACTAAAATGAGTCAGCAGCAGGTGAGAAAAATGTGGCAGTGGAGAACAACTCCCTCTACCTAAAGGCTAAGTTCACGCAGCAAACTATCTTGGCATAAAGCATTCACATTCAACACCTTGCTCTGACTTTCATTTGCCATGGAAATCAGTGCTCAGCATTGCTGAACTAAGGCGCCACAGGGCCCAACTGCCTCTACCGTGGGTGTGAACAAACCAAATTTGTCTCCAAAACAGGAAAAGCTGGTGTTTGGTGCTATTCACAAGAAAGCCAGCCATAGGCCACATGGAGCTTAGTCCCCCAGTCAGGTCTGTAAATAAAACTTGTGGTTTGTACATCAAAAAAAAAAAGTCCCATAGCTCTTCTTTTCTCTCTCTCTACCCAGCAGCATGTCTATGCCTGGACCACCGGTACGATCCAAAACAACCTGTAGCGTGGCTCAAATAGTAAAGGTACAGGAAAGCTTCTGGTTTGCTTTCTATCTCACCCACAAACTCTGAGGCTTGTCTCAGATTCTTTTGTCTTTGGAGAAAGCAGAAATGATCTTTAGCTTAAGACAGCAGGAGCCAATCCTATAGACAGAAAAGGAGCTCTACTTATACTCCCAGTAGCTGACCTGGGAGATGAACCTTGGCCTCCTGATGGGATGAATTAAGCCTAACCCAAGTGTCATCATTTTAAATGTGCCCAGCATCTAATACCGTGTGTGTGTGTGTGAGTTGTGTGTGTGCATGTGAGTGACTACTAAGATCCAACTGCACATGGCTGAGCTAAACTTGAGCTAACACAGCCAGCCCCCCTCTGCTCACTGCCCATCGGACAACTGCTGGTGACAACTTTTGAGACTGACCTGGGCACTGCAGCTCTAAGAGGCTGGAAACCCCCTCTTCCCCCACGTGCACCCACACTTCTGTGCCCTTCCCTGTGGGTGGGTGGCAGGGAGGGCCCGTACCATTGCTCTGACCCATGTAGCTTAGGAGCTACATGCCCAGCATCACCATTCCTTGGAAGGTGCTGAGGGCGAGGACAAAAGATGGGAAGATGCCTCTAGTCACAGTCAAAGGGGTTTATTGAGACCCAGACACAAATCATGGTACAAAGAGTCCTAGAAGCCTCCTCTGCACGTCCTCCAGTGCCAGGGCCATTCCCCGCGCAGCGGCGGTATGGCACAGAGATGCTATTCTCCTGCTGCGCCCGCTGCCTGCAAGTCTGCGAGGGGAAAGAAGGGGGAACATTGATATGGAAAGCAAGCGAGCTCAGCCCCACCTGGAAGCACTCAAGGCTCTGGGCTCCCTCGTTTCCTGCCTGGGCTCCGTCCCGTGAAGGCGGGCAGATGGCTGAGCGGCTCTGTTGCCAGCTCTGGCCAAGCTGCAGCCTTTCCAAGGCCAGGCCGAAAGCTCTGCTGTGTATCTGGGCAGCTCCCACCACTCTGCCCTACCACAGCCTCTCCGAGGAAAACTGAAGGAGGCTTCTTGTCTGCTTCGGCAGGGCAGAGACATTCAACCTCATGCACCTGGCCCGAGGAGCAGCTGGGTGAGCCAGGCTGGACAGTCAGTTTGAGGGTGTCCTTCTCTCAGCGCTCCCCCATGGCCAGGCTACAGCAAATGGGAGAGGCTGTGGTGAGGTGCGGGTTGAACTGCTGAAGCTTGCTCAGTCCCCTACTTTCACAGGGGGGAGAAGTGAGACTGCAGATGCTGGAAGGGGGATTTCAGTGCATTTTCTATTCCTAAAAGGGTCCTAGAGAAAGCTCCAGGGAGGTAACCTCTGTCTGCCAGCCAAAAGCAGCAGCTCTGCATGTTCCCTTCTGCCCTCTGCAGTGACCTGGGCATTGCTCATTAAGGCAGCGAAGCAGTGACAGAAAGCATGCAGCAGGATGGCTGGGGATACCCCCAGTTCCTGCCCCTGATGTGGTGCAACTTCACACCTAAGACCGTCTTTCAGTGCACGTTTCCCTGATCAGAAAGGCCAACAGCAGCAGCACGCATTGGGACCCACGGACGAGAGTGCTCCACACTACGTATCACGTTGGGAGGTAGGGAGGGAGCAGAGGTGGGGAGGACTCATCTTTCCCTCACACTGCAGGGACTGTTAGCATCACAAGGGAGCTGGAGAGTACTCCCTTGTCCCCACCTACGCCCCTAAAGAGCCCATCACTAATCTCATTGCCTACACACAAAGTGCGGCGGCTGCAGAGTTTTCCTTTATCTCCTTTAGCAAGGAGCTGAAGCATCCTATTCATAAACGACATTGTCACTGCCGCCCGACATCGCTCCTTTGCTTTCTGCCTGCGATAAACCTGCTGGTCTCATTCAGAGCATTTCATGCCTCTGGCCTTAGCAGGGAAATTAATTATTACTGTGCTCACTGATCAGCTCCCAAGCACGAGCGTGACTCTTTAAAACGTGATTAAGCAGCACTTGCACCAGCCACTTCAAAGGGCTGCCACGGCTAGCTCTGATGCCCTGAGCAGTAGACCACATCGTCTGGTCTCTGGGCAGGCACAAGCCAGGGAGAGGCATCGCTATAGTTATCTGGATGGCATTTGCTGCAGGAGACCCTCTTATCTCTTCATCCCGTCACCAGTATCAGAAGGAGGTGGGTGGGTCCAGCTTTAGTTCTCTAGGAAGCCGTACGTACCAGTTCCAGGTTCGGTGCCCTCGCTCTGGGAACAGGCTGAGAGCAGGCACCAGCACTGCTGGATTTTAGACCCTGGTTTGACCCCAACTTGCTTTGTATACACAAGTGACAGCAGCTTTCTGGGTTTTGGTTTCCCCCCGTGCAATGGCCCTAGCATACAGGAAGGTATAACAAGGCACTGTCAGGTCATGCCTGCTGACACAGTGCCTTGCACTCAACCATCTGCAAGCCCTTGCAGGCACTTCTACTTATGCTGACTAGCCATCTCCCATGACCGCTCCCTCGGGGGCACCCAGGGGTGGCAACTTCCCTGTGGGACACTGGATGTGGATTTACTCAGCCCATGGCCTGGGTAACGGTGAAGGTAGGCGACTGCTCCCCCAGCACACAGCTGACCCTGCTCCCACAGAAGAAGCCTTTCCAGGGTCAGCTGTTCCCTTTCACTGGTCTTCCCGGCAGCCACTTACTGGCATCATCATACTCCACAGATTTCAGGAAGAGCCCGGCAGCCAGGGCAATGGTGTTATGGGGGTAGGCCAGCGAGTCTCTCACTTCCAGCAGCAACTTTATGTGATAAGGCTTCAGCTTCCCCTGGCCAACTGCTACCAGCGCCCCGACCATCCTTTGCACCTGGAATGGCAGAGAAGTCAGCGCCGATGGAAAACGTTAAGAGATCCTTGCACAACCCAAGGTGCTTCCAGCAAAACCCCTGGGCATATCACCTCCCCCAGTTCCCCGGCGGCACGGTCCCAGTGTACACCAGGACGGCTGAAGCTCAGCCCGCCAAGGACGGGCACTGTGTGCCTCTTGCCCTGGAAGGAGTTGTGCTAATATGCTGAGATGGGTTAAGCAGAGGTGGCTCCCAGGAGGGCCAAGGAAATCCCCCGGCTGGCTCTAGTGGGGGGAGGAAGGGCAAGTGGCGCATGTCACCAACAGGTGGGTTTGTCCCCAGGCAGCCTCTGCCTCGCAGGTGTTTTTAATGCCCGCTGCTGGGGCATTTTGCTGCCACGCTGGTGGAGCGGGGGAGAGCTCCTGGCAATAGCTCCCCAGGCAAGGCCACAGCTTCCTGCAACAGGATGCTGCTCGTCACTGTGCCCTAGCATTGACCCAGGCCATGCAGGGGTGCAG